TCAAAATCGACTGAAACAATCCTATTTCAGATATGTAAAGATTGTACTCTCCAAAAACTATGAAACTTTTTATGTATTAATTCCATATTACAGGAATCACTAAACAAAAACGTATTACTGTCCACAGTGGCATGTAACAACACTCGTGAGTAGTAGGTGTACGAAAGATGGTGAATAGGCTTTAGAAGAAGTTGAAAGAAAATGGTTACCCAAGCAACGGTTCAGACTTCGTTCACAATGATAGTTTGGGTATTTTCAGTCAATAATTTGAAACAAAGATGCTCTAAAAGAGCAGAATAGGACCCAAACTCACGCATGTAAGATATTAGCTTCTGTTTAGTATTTCATATCTAAAAAATGACTGTTTTAACATATTATCGAGCGTTAATAAGACATTCACTAGAAAGTGGAGTTACTAAATTCCATCCGAAAAGAGTTTACAATCAGTGGAGTGTGTTCATGATCTCAATCCAATTGACTGCTCTCATTTCGAGACATTGAATGCTTATGATACGGAATTTTCTAATCTCTAGTTTTGCCAAGTGTCCGTTTTTGAGTATCTAGCATATCGAACAAAGAATATTCGATTGAAAGAAAATGGATAAGACATTTCAATGTTCACAGAAACTTGTTAGATTGAAATTCTGTAATTTCAGTATTTCATATACTATGCAAGAGGTCACGAAAACAGTGAGATGGCCTCGTCTATGTACAAGATAGTAAAGGGAGGCTGGAGGATGAGGATGTACGTTGATGTTAAAATAACAATCAAACTCACACCCACACCCACACTCATACTACATATGCACGTACGCTCTTCTTGTGAGAACTATTGATAGCAGTGAGTTCAATGGTATGAATATAAGAGTAGGTAGAGAGTTCGAAAAGTTTGAGAGATTATGCAAATATATCTTCTTTTCACATCCGCAGCCATCACCTGCTGCCTCTGTTCTCTCTGCAGTAAAGTTAATGTGTTTTTGTGTCACACGGATTAGCTGAGTAACGATGATGTGCCTGACATGTCAGAAAATAAATATGACGCGAATCAGAGTCATTACTGTTGATCATATACGATTTCTGCATGAACTCCTTGTTTATTCATTTTATTTCAGATCAAGAGACGACAAAAAATATGGAAGCAGAACTGGAATCACCTTTCATGAGCAAGATGGCTTTTATTGCATATCGCAAATTGCGTCAGATAGCAGACAAGTACAGCCTTGAAATTGATCCACCGCGTATTGTTTTCGTCGGCGAGACATCGACAGGGAAGTCTATGCTAGTGCAAAATTTTCTTGGCTTTCCGTGCACATTTTCCCAATCAGGTGTAGCTACTAGATGCCCGGTTGCCTACCAACTTCGTTTCAATGAAGAAGCCAAAGAGCCTCGTGTTCTCAAGCCATCTGTTGCTTCTGCACAAAATCTTGCCAATTGTCTTCAAGGTCATATGAACATTATTGCACAAGGACAAAGGTTTTCCACCGAAGCCTATCAGATTGAGCTTGAAAGTAATGTATATCCTGATTTGGAGATTCTCGACTTGCCAGGTCTCATCGCTGGGAACGATAAACCTGAAGATCGGGTTGCCGTTGAAAAAAGTAAGTTACTCTAAACCGACTGTCACCTTCAGATTAGCTTGAAGTAGCACAATTCAAGCGATGTGTCCCACTTTCCATGATAATAGTTTTCATATAGATAGAATAAGATATTGTCAAGAAATCGGGTACCCTATAGATAGGTCGTCTTATGGGTCAATGTAGTGAATCCGCTATGAATCAAACAATCATCTTACTAGCAGTGCTTTACTACCATCCTACTCTTAATATCTGGCTACTCTTTCTTCCTTTTATTTTACTGTATTTTCTGTTATTCCTTTCTTTTTCTCTTTTCTCTCTTCTCTTCTCTTTGTCCTATGCGATGTGTATATGTACAAGGATTTAAGGATATCTGAAGGAGAGAATAAAATTTAAACTTAAATAAAATAAGTGCGACTCGTAAAGATGAGCTAACATGTCTGAAACACTGGAAATTTCATCGCACCTATCCAACAAAAGTAGAGATTGTTATACTATGTAAAACTGAATAGAAAAGCGTCCAGAAAAGCAAGGTACTTTCATGTTCCTTGACTTTCGTAATAAGATTGAAATTTTAAAAGCATTTTCTTTTCACTATTAAACAGCTTTAACTTCGCATTCTATTCTCTTTAGCAATGATAAAAATCAATCAGCGTTTCAAATCTTGGCAAGAGTTTTTTTCACAAATAACTCTTCGTGATTTTGCTTTCTGGTACTTATAATAAGTGAGCATTATCGTCTTTGTTATCTCGGTATATTTCTATTCTTATACTTATTGGAGTGTGGATGAGTGTGGATGCGGAGGTAGAGTTTGATCTCTTGTTTTTCTGAGCACCCACACCCACACCCACGCTCATACCCTCATTCGCAGTTGACACTGAGGCTGATTCCGGTAAAAACATGTCTTCTTTATGAGGAAGAAACGAATAAGCGAGTGTTTTGTTGCTTTTAGTTACGGAGTTCTACGTGCGCGATCCTAATTTTATGATCGTGCTTCTTGTTGAAGCCAATCAAGATCTGGCGAATTCTTATGGTGTTCGCATAGTCGACGATTTGTGCACGGGCAGATCGAACAGAGGATCTGGTAAACCGCCTCGACCCGATTACAAGGATCATAGGTTAACTATTCAAACAAAGTTCGATGTGTTCATGAATAGTCATGCAAATGGCACGCATGCCAATAAGGATATTCAAGAACGCCTGGATACATTCAAAGAAACATATTTTGTTAGCATGATTCATGACGCTCGTGTCATGACTGACGAAAGTTTTGAGAGCAATGTGGAGTATATGAAGGATTTACCAGAGCAGGAGAAACGATTGGTCGACCACTGGATCAAAGAAATAATCAATAAAAAAGTTAATAAACCACCCATGTCCTACCCGGAATTCAATTCTGCAAAATATCGCCACTTGATCGGTATAAGTATAGTGAAAGAAAAAATTCGAAGTCGATGGCTACAGGTGAGACTAAGATGTTGATATGATTATAATTATTTGTAGTTGGATGATGTAGTTTTGAGGTGTGGGTGTGGATTTAAATTTATAGTAAAAATAGGCCCATACACCCACATCGAAATCCTGAGCATCTCACTTTTGAAAGCTTGGTCCTCATAACCCTATTGACTGGAAGCCAGTTCAAGAAAGTATGCAGTTTACTGCATTATAAATAAGAGAAAAGAAATCTTTATTGGAGGAATACTGTCTATTGGGATTAAAACAACATTTTTTTCTTTCTTCAACGAACTTACACTCACGTAAACACGAGCAAACGAAGCTAATTAACTCTGGGTATGAGTGTTTCTCCACAGAAGGGTATGAACTACACTGAAAATATTTTAGAATTACCATATCTTGTACAGTCATATGTGCTTGTAGAAAAGATAAAGAGTTTGAGAGGAGCGATAGTCAGTAATGATTTGATGTGAATATTATTGATTAACGTTTTAGGCATTCAAAAAGGCACTACCGACCCTAAGAACAAAGCTCGTACGCCAGATCACGGATGCTGAAAAAGCATATGTAGACGCTTTGAACGATTACTCGAAGTCTAATCCAACTCAAGTTCGTATATCTTACTTAGCTTTTTTGAACGAATATCGTCGAAAGCTGGCGTTGTATGCGACGTATAAGTCGGAAATCGAAGTCTATTTTCCGCACAACCTGAGTGGTACTAATTACGAAGAAGTCGAATATGACTTTATGACGAAGTGGCCACGACGAAAAGAATTGATATGGCGAGCCTATCTCACTGCTCAAAAAATGAAACAGCACGCAGAAACCGAGGATAACAGCGATGAAAGTCTACACAGATTACTCGACTCCAAATTAGTAGGCTCAAGTCACTTTGACCGGTTGCAGAAAGTATTTGCTTACATGGTTTTAGCCTTTCAACACGAACAATTGACTGCTGATGAAATTATTACGATTGAATCGCTCTTGTATGGTGGTCTAAGCTGCAGCGCTAATACAGAAAAATTGATGCGAGATACGATGCATCGTCTGATGCGTAAAACGTTCGCCGTCGGCGTTGCCTGGTTAACACAAATGTATTCATATTTGCTTGACACTTTTCTGAAAGCTATTATTAAGCTTTTGCTATCACAAAATGATTTTAATCATCTGAAGGAACATACTCCATTTCTTACAATTCTTGAACTAGACTATCACCGAAGGGTACGGGCTATGATGCGTAAGGCCATATACGCCATACGAGATGCACGCTTTGCTTACAGCACCTATGCTCATTATGATTTGACGGCATGGTTGAAGAAGCTGACTTTTCGAATACCTATTGAAATTCCACATGATTTGTATTTAGAAGAGATACCCGATGTATATGTCAAGAATGAGAATCGAAGCAGTAGTACCTCCATTGGCGCGGAGCATCGACAAGCAACGATCGGTGATGTGTTTGCCAAAATTAATCCACCTCAGCTGCTTTCTGTTATATTCGGTTCCGAATCATACCTGCCTAGCAAACGTGATCAAAAATCATGCTCTTACCATCCGAGTGCTCGCAGAATCATTGATGAATTGTATATGGCAACATGTAGTAGACTTCTGTATGACATAGCTGCTCACTTCAATGCACATGTTGTGATTGGGATTAATCAATTCAATCATATCGAGTCTTATTCATCCAAGTCAATTGCGCATATTCTCGCTAGTATGACAGATACTGTCATCGCTCGCCTAGCAGGGATTGATTACGAGAATGTAAGTAGACATCTCGATGAATTGAGAGACCGAATTGGTGATCTCAATGAAGCCAGCGTACTGCTCGAAGGAGTAATGCAACAGTTCCGCGAAGAAAGAAACCTCAATAACGAAATTCACCGGATAGAACGACGTGCTCGAGACCGGCGTAAAGCAGTCGTAGAGCAGCTTGAACATAGACGTAGGCTCTTGAGTCCATTCAGTCGAATGCCGCGTTTTGATAATATTCCTGATTCCCAAGATGGGCAATTCGGTGATTATTATGTGCAGCCAGATGATGTGGAAGACGAAGATATTCGTACTATGCTTAACAGTAGTGGCGCACAAATGTGCGAAGCTCATCTCGAGAGAATCTATGACCGTGATGATAACGAGGATCTTGAAGCTGGCCTTCTTGACGGTGATGCGTTAGATCAAGATTCGAGTGAACCAAGAGCCCAGGGACATTTCAGACAACCACATAACGATGATTATTCGAATGGCTCAGAAGAACCAGAGATAGAAACAGAAGGTGGTTCTACATAGATGCCGTCTCAAACTACGACCGACTAAGATCAATGACGATGTGGACGTGAAACAAGATCGAAAAAAATTAACCTCTCTTCTAGCATAAAGACACATTAATCTGCAAAATCCAACTTTTGCTTCTGGATGTGGGTGTGTGTTGTGTCCATTAGAAAAGAGATCAACTTGAGGGTGTGGGTGGGTGTGTAGGTGTGGGTGTGGTGTTTTGGTGTGGGTAGGGATGTAGGTGTGGGTCTGGGTCTGGGTGTAGGGTGTGGATGTGGGTAGTGTTGGTGTGGGTGTGAGTGCGGATGTGAGTCTTGTTTTCACCCACACCCACACCAACGAATTTGGAATATAATTCGATAAAGTCTCGATATCGCTTGAAAAAGTCCCTTATTGAAAACCATCTTACAGATAAAGTTGAGTATTCTATGGGAAACTGCTATCACATAATAATATGTGAAACCTTTTCTAGACTATTGTAGAAAGCCGAATAGGAATGTTAGTTGGTGATGCTAAACATATTAACTATTTTCGTGTGTTCGAATGCTTCTAAATTGTCAAATGAAACTACATTTAACATACCATTGAAAGAACGGTCCCCAATCATTGCAGAGAAAACTCGAATTCAGGACATGCGAACTGTGTTTAAAAGCAAATACAGCGCACTAAAACTAAGTCGACTGGAAAGTCAGAATCTATCTTATCGTCACCACAGTCAATCGTTCTGAATCCATTTTCTATATACATTTGATACATTTTGATTCACGCAAACGGTCAAAATATCAAAAAATTAGCCAGACCAGAAATTTACTGAGAAATCTTCCATTACCTATCCGACCACAATCCCACTGATGTTTCCGGAGCCAACAATAAGTCCGATGGCTACAGCTCGTTTAGTATGTCCACTAATATTGTTCGTAATCCAAGAGATGATAAGTGGGATGGGTGAGAATGCACCAACACAAGTAATACATGTTGCAATATACAATATTTTCGAACCGTAGTTAGTCAGGGTTACCAATAGAATGTAACCAATAACACCTATGGATAAGGTCCCAGTCATGTGAAAACCACGTTTTTTCAAACGACCAGCAGAAAATGACACTAGTAGTGTGAATATACAAGGCATCATATGCGGTGGAGCACTCATCAACTGTGCCTCGACATTAGAAAGATTCATTCCTTTACTAATCAATGTTGGCAAGAAGATAATAAGAGAATGAACAGCTATTGAATTACTCACATAAATAAACACGTATATGTAAACATTCCAATCGGTGAATGCATAGCGAACTTGTCGCCAGGAGAAAACCATTTCTCTATTGTTTGACAGACTTGTATCTTGTCGAAGACGATTCATTAACAGCTCTTTTTCTGTATTTGTTAGTCCTAGAGTTAATAATAATAATAAGACAAAGAAGAAAGTGAATCTCTAGAGCTTACATAGAATAGTCTCAGGCAAATCTCCTAGAAAAAAGTATGTTACAATGCCCAAGAGCACGCATGGTGATCCTTCTAGGATGAAAATCCATTACCAACCATTAAGTTTTGTAGGAATCTCTAATTGACTAATACCGTACCTCTATAAATATAAAGTAAATGTTAAGACAGAATGATACAACATTCATCGTCATACTGACTAAGATACTTCCGAAAGCACCAGACAACAGTACTCCGCAATAAAATATGGCCATTCGAAAGATATGCTGTTCGCGTATATACCAAATGGAAAAGTAAAATATGACTCCTGGAAAAAAGCCAGCTTGCGCAGCTCCCTAACAACACAAAAATTAGTACAATGTCTTCCAAAAGTGATGTGTAGATAAAAAATACACTATTCTCATTACATTTTAACCAAATAACTTGTTTGCTTGCTTCAGTTTCTTTCGTTACCCTAGACTATTCACTATTATTCTATAAGCATTCATTTATGTGCCTACAAAAAGCTCGTACCGCAATCTCTATGAGATTAAAATGTGAAATACGATAGAACTAATTATTCTGACAGACCTGAAAAATCTCACTTGAGAAGAAAGAAACATATGGATTCTAAGTATTCAAATTATTCGATCTCATAAAATTTTCGAAAAGACATAGAATTTGTAACTGAACCTAGGGATCTTAAAATAAGGGTGGCCATTGCTAGCATGTGTGTCACGATCACTGATTCATCCAATAGTCAAGGAAAGTATGCTAATAAACAGTCATATAGAACAAAAATTGGATTATCATGTTTGTATTCACCAAAAAAAAATCGTGTAGCTAGGAAGCCACCGGCAGTTTTTACAAATGCCATTGATACCACAATTAGACCCCAAATGATCATTATAATTGACAAAAATTTCGATGGACCAATGTATCGCATGATTAAAGTCGGTGGAATTTCGAGAGGCATCTAAATGATACTAGAGAAATAGATAAAATAATATAGTTGACGAATAATTTTCATTCACAAAACCGATGAAGTAAATGGATACTGCCCAGCTGTATTCCGTTCGAGTCAAATGAAGAACATTTTCAATACCGGCAATTTTTGCATTGCCTGAAAAGTAGTCGATTCTGACTTACTTTTTTGCTGTATATACATAACATCATAGAACATCATTATGCTTACCAATATTGATCCGGTTTAAAAATGAGAACAATTCGAGTATCATTAAAAATGGTATCAAACGTTATCGAGTTTCTATAGTAATGCACGTATTGCTTTCTGATACATTTTATCTGATATTGTAACATTATTACCACTATACATCGACGTTGCTGCATGATCAGCAGATTATCGACTATCGACAGTAGTACTTACCGTGATAATAGTATCCATTGAATTATAATGGAATACCTGTATAGCTAGTTTTGCACTCAATATCTTATAATAATTTCTCTGCATGACAGACAAGATATTTTTTTTTGTTTTTTCACCTTTATGATACATGAAAAAGAAACGGAAGAGAAATTCAAAAAAAGCCTACGTAATGATCTGTTGCGCCAGAAAAGTCATGCATTTGCAATTGAAAAAATTGCGCCAATCAAGAAATATACAACATCTTTCATTTCATAGCCTGATGCAAATACTTATCTATGACAGAATCAGAGAACAATACAGCAACAAACATTTCAGAGATAGTTCCAGCGTGTTTTGTGATGGAAATTGATATTATGCGAAAGTTTGATTGCTTTAAAGTGAGACTTTTAGCGGTTGTTAGATTATAATGATAATTTCATATGACTACCGTTTGGAATTTAAGTCGAATTTTATCTTTCATTTTTTCACTAAAGGCTGCTGACAGATATTCTTCAATAAGTTGATTCATTACATTTGTTGAATGGAGAAAAAAACCAAACGAAAGTATATTTCGTTGTTTCTTTTTTTTCTCTTCAAGGATACGAGGACGATACACCTCTTCAGTGATTTATTCACTAATTGTGACTTTATTTTATCGTTCTGTTGCCAAAGAACAGCATAAGAAAGGACTAACTTATTATCCATGGCACGTCATGTTTGATGAAGAGTTGTATATGCATAAAAATGTGACTCAAAGCATATTACCTAAGTCTTCGAAAAAGTTTCGATCACAATCATTTCATTGATGTGGACTATCTCTTTTCGTATTTTTCGTAACTATAACATGAGTTCTCATGAGGAAATCTATTTAATCATGCTTTTCCAAAAGATTTGTTACCTGGATTAAATCATATTTGTCCATCATTCTCTGATATGACTATTTGTTTATTCTGTTGTCTACCTTGTCTGCACTTCGCTCTTCCTTTTGCATCACACGAAAAAAAAAGGATGTTGTTTTTTTTTCTCACACTCTGATCACGTAAAGAAGTAACCAAACGAAAAAGTGACTTACAGAACGACAAAAGTAATGCGCAGTAAGTAATAGAGGTGATTAATTTACATGTACGAAAATTTATTACATCCACAAATATATTCGGAAGTTTATACTTTAACTTTTGGAAGTTTAAACTTAAAATAAGTTAACAGAAAAATGACATGTCTAGTGTGTAACTGCTATTTCTCGAATTTCTATTAATAATTATCCTGAGCGAGGAAAAATGAAAGCACAAAATACAATGTTTTCGTCTTATGTATTGAGAAAATAGTTCTAATTCCGACGCAAGAATGCTGTAGTTCTACACGTATACTGAGGATATAAACTTCTCAGAAAATCATATCTTCCATAATCTCGTTCTGAATATAAAAATTCTTAATAGAAATCATTTTTTTATAGACTATTTGAATAGAAAGATGAAAGGAGTGACATGGTTTTGGAAAACTAATACTAATCCTTGGTCATCGAATGAGATCGAACAATGGATTCCATTCCCTGATATCATTAACCGTCAAATCGAGCAAGCCTATGAAGACCGGCAATTAGAAATAGTGATCAGTGAAGAATATAAAATTGATTTGAACAGATTATTACAAAACGATATCTTTGATTTTGGTAAACAACGACCAGTTCGACGATGTTCGAAAACAGGAGATACTCTTACTTATTATCGTCGTGAACGATTCAATTTCGCTCAACCCATTCAACGTTCTATTGCCGATGATACCCTTAACTATGGATGCAGTTTTGCTACTGATTGTTTTATCTTATTCACGAAAGCTATATTGAAAATGAAGATCACCTCATTGATTGATGCTCTTGTTTCTGGTATAGTTATCGAAGGTGGAAAACCGAATCAAAATGATGAAGCTCAATCCTTGAAGAAATAAATTGAATCTATCAAAAAGAAGACAATCAGAAACTTGCAACGATGCTGTGCTCGGCTGTACACTAAACCATGTTTCTTGTTTGAACTACCCAACTAGCCATCCGATGGGTATTTCGACGCGGCGATTTTGACTTCCGTTTGGCATCGAAATTTTAAATCGACCCCTGGGATTGCCATTTTCCGATGGGTCGAGGGCTCGGCGATAGGTTGTTTTTACTAGCAGTTTTCAACCACTCGGATGATCGTTTCCGATGGATCGGAATCTCATCGAAAAAAAGGATTTTTGTCCGATAGATGTCTCAATTTCGAGTTGTCCAAATCCATAGAATATAAATTTCGAGTCGTCGAAACCTATCGAATATATGCGGAGAAGTAGATTTGAACATGGGTACTTACGATGCACTTACCTCGAACAGTTGATCTAAATATGAATTGTTATTCTCGTATCAAAACGACCTTTTTAATTCATAAGAAGATAGTACTTTTTATTTTTCATGCTTCCTAACTTTTAATTTTATTTTTTGGAAACTGAAAGTAATATTTTTGATCCAGAGAGAAAAACTTCGCTTAAACATTAGAAATAATATTTTTCATCCAGAAAAAAGATTATTTTTTTGAACAATAAAAATAATATTTTTTATCGAGAAAAATTTTATCATGAAAAAAATTTCATCAAGAAAGAAAAACTTTTTATATCTCTATAAGTGACACAAGAACTTCTTGTAATTTAAGACTTCGTATAAATCACTTATTGAATAAATATAACGTGCAATATGTGATGATCATCCAATTTACACGCGGAATCATGAGGTCAATATTTAGTAATTTTTTTTAAATTCACACCGTAAAAATTCATTATTACTATGTCTTAGTTAAAAACACAGGTGAATATTAGTTTTAGTTTCATCCGGTGGACGATAAATTTTGATTAGAAAATTGTAAAAATAAGGTGAATTACGAAGCAAACTTGAATAATTATACTAAAATTATTGAATAAAAATAAAGTATATGTTAAAATCGAATTTTGAAGAAGTTTCACATGATCAAGATTATAGACTCCTCTGTCAAAGCTGTTATTATGATCGGTTTGACGCTTTTGAAGCACTCAAAATGATCCTTTCAATATGTTTGTTTTAGTCGAATGATTAAAATGTGTTAGAGGAGTTGGTAGTATTATTCCGATAGGTGACTTCTCTCGGAGTACTCGGAACTTCGATAAGTACCGAGGTGTCGAAATATATGCGACCAGTCAAAAATGAGTCGTCGATAGGATACAGTGTCCGAGTGCTCGAAATTCGATGGGTGCCGAGGGGATCGAAATTGAAACAGAACGAAAAAAAAATATATATATCAAATTTTCGACCGCTCGTCGCACCCGTCGTATGCTTTTTTTGGTCTGCTTGGGTAGTGAATAGAACACTACGTGATGATGATCGCTCGAAATTGACCACACTTGGTCCATTCTGCTATCTAATGTTCAATTATATCAGCACACGACATAATGAATATATGTCCATTCGAAATCAGTTAAAAAGATTTGTCAAAAAAAACAAATAATAATACGTCGGAGATAACTGTTTATCGTGGTGAAACGCTATTACTCGATAATATTGAAATATACAAAAAAGCAGTTGGAAAAGGTGATTTATACAAATGGTTATCATTTATATCTACATCTCGATCTCCTGATGTAGCTGAAGAGATTGGATCAAATGTGTTGCACGTTATCACGATTAAGCGATCATCGTCCAATGATCAATACGTCGATCTTGAACCGATTTCATATTACAAGGATGAAGAAGAAGTTCTACTACGGCCAGGTGTTCGATTCAAAATGGATGATGCTTATGATGATCCAATTACGGGACGATATATATTTCATATTCAAATTAAACCGTCATTCATTTCGAATTTAATATAGAAAAACGAGTTTCTTCTTCAATGAAAGAACATATTCTCGCAAAATATATATCAGAAAGAATATATATTTACATATCATTATTAAAATTCTACGTGACAATATGCATATGAGTAAAAACAATAAATAGCAATTCTGATTTTTATTGACAGTGGTCTGTTTGAGTTTATCATGATTTGAAAATGATCTCATCCAGTTGCTTGACTAGCTATTCTTTGCGAGATTCTTGATAGTGACGAGCTTGATGATGAAGACATTACATGCATATGTATGTATTCGCAACGATCTTCGTAAAAATCAGGATCAGGAAAATATTTCTAGCTTAATAAATATCTACACTCAATGCTTTCTATAATTGAAAGACAATTCGAGATGAAGTCATGACTAAATTCAACAAATGCTCGACCAGCTTATAAAATACCATTGTCTCGCCGCCGCATGTGACATGTGGACTGATGATTTTATCAAATGTTCCCATCTTGTTTTCTCAATATTTTGGATAATCGATGAATAAACAAACTTGCTCATTGCTTCTTACGATGTAAGCACTTTTTAGACGATCTTAGTTCCTTAATCAGTGACAAACCAATCATCGCCTCTTGCAGTTTAATAATCTACGAAATCAACGTATCTGTTCAAATGATCGTCAATTAATTTTAATGCTTTTATTTCAAGTTTTAATTACAACTTTATTTTCGGCACCTTATTCTGCTTTTAGTCTTTTTTATATAATTGGTTTAACTATTCTTGAATATAGACTTCCAACATCTGGAAAAGCTATTTTTAATTTTGCTTATGATCGTTTTATAATATTTTATTATACAAATCCTGTTATTAGATTTTATATTTCTACATTATCTGGTTCAAAATTTCTTAGTGAAATAAAACATTGTATTAAATATGGATTTGCTTTTATTTTAAGCCCTCCCCCTGTCAAAAATCGATTTTCTGATTTTTATATGGTTGGATAGCTCTTGTTGCCTATTTTCGAAAACAGTATGATTTATCGGTATTCTGATAGTTTCTTACACAAGATTTATTGATGATGCTACCATCGATGATAATGAGTTTTTTGAAAATTGTTTACGTTTTTTTTCAGAACGAGTTTTTCATTTTTTTTCTTACTTGTATGTTTCAGATTTCTCAGCTATTTTACATGCTAGAAAGTTGAGGAAGGTCTTAAATCGAAGGGAAAATTGTGCTCTATAACTTAATAGAGCCGGATTTTTTATTTTTGACATCGTTTTTGAGAAAAATGCATATTTTTTACTAGTGTATCCCTTATTTTTTGGAATTTTTTTAGAAAAACTTCCATCAAAAATTAATAACGAAGAATTTAACAAATCGAGCTATATCAGGTTGTAGCGGCAGATGTTGGCTACATTTTGACATCAACATCAGATCTGTATCATTGAATTTGGAGGAGAAATCTGACACAGACGGGAATCTACTTTTTGACCCCTATTATTTGAATAACTCTTGAATAACTCAATATTTCGTGCTAAAACTTTTATTGTAAGCTCATCAGGCCCAAGCACATATTTGTTGAAGATTTCAGCAAGATCGGTTGCTCTGAAGAAAAAATAGATATTTGATAGGGAGGGGTAGCCTGAACAAAAATGAATTTAATACGATATTTATTAATGTCAATTCGTCAAGCAATAATCGATGAAAATCAAACAGATATTATCAATAATTTTACAACAGCACGAGGACAATGACACATACCCTTCATATAAGAAAAATCACACCTGTTTCATAAACATTAACTAATAGATTTTTTTCTTTTAGTAGTTGTAAATTTTTCCTTTATTCAATAAAATGTATACATGTTCATAATGTTATAGTCAATAATTCGCATAATATTATAATACTAAAAAAATTACCTTCATTGATATTCAACGAACACAATTAATTTTTATGCACTTTTATTCGATATCAAGTTCTATCTGTTCTGAAATTTACTAATTAATTGAATATATCCAAAAGACATTCTATTTTCTTACTTTATTCGTTATTGCATTAATGTCTTCATTGAAAATTTAATTAAATGTTATCTTATACGTTCTTTCTTTCTTCAATTTGATATTTACATCCAAGATATAATATAGAAATTATTTTTTTTTGACACCATTTCTTATTAGACAACAGATATTCTTCTTTGAATTTCAATCCTTATCCTATTTCTTTGAGAACTGAACATGGAATTTATAAATGAAAAAATCCAGATGATATGTCGTTCTTCTAAATAGTCTTTTATTATATTTGTTATATTTAGATTTTTATCATGAAAACATATTGAAAAACTCATCATTTAAATAATATTATGTCATCGATCGACGTTAAAATCAGTCAAATAAACTCAGCAACATCAATAATTGTACTCGTTTTATTATGTATTGCATTTGCAATAGGTTCAATTGGTCCTCTATTTAATGTAATTGTATTTACTCGACCAAATTTACGTCGTGAACCATGTTCACTTTATTTTTTATCATCAACATTTTTCAATTTATTTTTCGTATTTGTGATTATACCTGTACGTATTCTTTCAAATAGTTTTAACATATCTATGTCTAATTATAATGCTGAACTTTGTAAAATAGAAATTTTTGCTTTTTACTCAGTACGTTCAATATCTTGTTGGTTAATTGCAATGGCTTGTATTGATAGATATTTACATAGTTCAGCAAATGCTAATATTCGTCGATTCAGTTCATTAAAAACAGCAAAAATAATAATTGCAAGTATCATTATTATAATTCTCATCTTATACAGTCATATGATGGTTTATTTGAATATACAAGAAACATTGAATAGATTTGGAACTATTTCATATTCATGTAATTTTTATAATAGTACTTATCGTACATTTATGTCATTTTGGTATATGACATTCTATTCACTTTTTCCATCATGTTTAATGATTCTATTTGGTTGTTTTACAATGAATAATATACGCAAACGTCGTCAAATTGTTTCAGTATCAAACGAAAATAATAGAATTATTCGACGTACAGATAATCAATTATTACGTATGTTAGTAGCTCAAGCACTTGTGATCATTATTACTACTTTACCACAGACAATCTATCAAATTTATGCATCATTTACAATGAACTTAGTTAAAGATACACTTCGAATTGCTCAAGAAAATTTAGCCAATAAAACATCGGGTGGAATGACATATTTTTGTCATTCGACTAGTTTTTATTTGTTTACATTATCAGGTAGTATCTTTCGCAGAGAACTTTACAAATTTATTTCACAATGCTGTCATCTCAACCGAACTCGTGTGGATACATTTCGTTCTGAAATGAATAAAATGCCAACTTTAACTAAGAATCGACAATTAGCTGGTATAAAAAATACTCTTGTGCGACAATCATAATCTTTTTTTAGAGAAAAAGTTCAATCTTACAGCATTAATAAATATAAAGACTATTTGTTTTTATTTTATGTTGTTTTGAAAGAAGAAAAATAAATATATATCTATTCATTAACTATTTTCCATATTCAATAGATAAAATGTTAAATTTTATTTTGAGTAAATATAATCATCGTCTGTTTATAATTTTTATTCAAATACAAATATCAAGAGAATATTTATGTAACATTTATTCGTTTGTCTTAACTTTTTAAATAATAAACAATAAAAAAGATACTATATGAATTAATTATTACTTTTATAAATATGAAACGAAATAAGATGCCGAAATGGCAATATTCAAACGGTTTAGCTAGAAATACTATAAGAAAGTTGAATGAGTATAGATGTAGTATATTTACAATGAAAAATAAACCTATGGCCTCTTTCAGGTATTGTTTTTCTTAAATTTTGCTTGTAGTCACTCAACAGTCAATTTTCCGTAAGAAGAAAACTTTCTTTCGTTTGATACAATTTTTTACATTGATTCCGAATACACTATTTTAAAACAGTTCGTATGAGACATACTACATTTATTCTCAGTCAAACAACAATGGTTAAATTGAATTAAATATTATCTTTTTATGCTCTATCGATCCGCCTATATAAAAGAGCCAGAAAAAAATTCACTCGAATATAGTATTTTTAGTTTCTTATAAAAGACCCTCATCTCATCCTCAGGAATTCTTTCGACAACGAGTCAGCGAATCTGAAGGATGACTGCTACTAGCAGTTGAGTCTTCATGCGAATTACTACTATAATTTATTCTAGAATTTTATTTAATTGGATTAATCAGAGTACATCAAGTTAAAAGCCAAGAGAGTAAAAATCACGCTAATCTCTTCCACATTTGGCGTCTCACGCTAGTATGCCAAACAATCATTGCTTCCTGCGCTGTTCTGCATCGACCATAGGCTTTCTTCGTAGTGATTGGAAACCAAACTCATGTGACCAATGGAACCTGCACCTATATGGATGCGGGTGTGGGTCTGGGGAAAGCTAGCATGCATCCACACCCACACTCTCATACTTTCGAGCTCTATGAAAAAATAAAGCGTGACAATCAATATTCACTAATAGAGCCATCAAGTTATCCAAACCTGAGTAAAGTCTGAGATCAATCGATTGGTTTAGTATTGAAATAAAACACAGATCAATCTGTTTCTCAACGAATCTACAACTTCCTCTACCACACATTTTTATTTTCTCTACTAAAACCATTCCATGACGCCTCTGTTTCGTCTAATTCTCTTCCCTCTAGAAAATAAACACGGAACGCCTTTTTCTGGTTCATCTTCAATTATGCGAGACTATTTCCATAAGTCTCTTTGTAAAAGCTCGATAAGAAGTTGATCAGATGCTCCTGCGTCTCATTATCGCGATTATCCTAGCCAAAAAGAATAACCGTGCCCAACACTCGTAATAATGCAGTTTGTACGATTGAATCGTGTGTTTTGTTCTTCTAATCACTCAATCGTCATTGGTGAAACGTTTCTTCGTTGGATGTGCACATGTAGACTGATCAGATGAGGCATCTTACGTAAGATGAAATCAATTGTATTGCTGTGTGAATGAACACCCAACGATAAATGCTGACATTGTGAAGAGAAAATGAGTAAGATTTTTTCAAGTTCGTTTTTCTCAAAACATTGCAATGTATTTCGATCTAAACTAAGGGTTAATGAACGAATCTTTCGTGAGAGACGACGGCAGACGCATATATCAGTCCAATTATCGGTCAGTATTTTTAGTGTACTCTTTTTCGCGGTTAATGAACACAGATGTGGTGCATTATTCAATAGAAGATTAAAATCTTCTGATGATAATGCTGTCCCATCGCCAATAGTGATGCGTCGCAATTTGGTCAAGATATGAGTCCAAGCTAGTGCATTGAAAGAAGTATGGATCATCAAATTGATGACAGAACTTTGATCAAACATAGAATTAGGTACTGAATAACTTTTGAAGACCAATGTTTTGATACTTGTGCGCATGCTGATACTCCCAAAATCAATATCGTTTCTCGACCAATCTAAACTCTTCATTTTTGAAAAAGTTTTAAAGACAGTAAATATTTCGAAAGAGAATGGTATAGTATAGAGAATGACGTGTCTCATATCTGTATTATATGTGCCATATTCTTTATCATGTAGAGGTGTTTCATGCCGAGCAGATACATCACAACGTACAAAGGAATTCTTTTCCAGCGTATAGAATAGCGTAGAGAAGGATGCTACAACTTGTGTAAGTTGATGTAATTGTCGATCATGACATATGAATTGAAAATAGAACTTGAAGTTTTTCAACGACGGAATCGATGCAGATATCACTTGTGCCCATGTTTCACCACAGGGAAAGGGTCCTCCTGGTTCTCTCTGATATACTTCAAGATCAATTAATTGAGATAGATTCATGAGTGACTGTGGAATGAGTGCACAATCTCGATAATTTTCATAAACGATCTTGAGAAGTTTTAATGTGTGTGGCCATACTAACACTCTGTCCTTCGTACAACAACCTGCCATTGTATATGTGACCATTTCAAGTTCAGTTAGATTCTGTAGAAATGAAAAAGAATACTTTTTTTTTTGTAGTTCGATAAACTTTAACTGTCATCTTACTTTGAGCCAACGTGTATTGGGACATGAAGTGAAAATAAGTTTTTTCAAATTCGGAAGTTCAAATTCTGGAATATTATCTCCGCAAATTGATTCAATTTCAAGTGATACCAAGTTCGAAAGGAATGGAAGCTGACCAAATAGCGGATAAGAATGATTGTGCATTGTGTTGACGATAGATAAAGATCGCAGTTGAGAGAATCCATCAGGAAGAGCATGGTTTGCGAAGAAATAGCTCACTTGTCCTGGTGTATGCTCAGCATCGGAAAGCTTCAATGAATGCCATCGGTTGGTATTCTGATATTGAAAGACGATATCAAAGTTCTTCTTATTGATTGATGTCAAATCAAATTTGAGACAAAGTTCATCGAGTAAACTTTGAAAACGAAGGTTCAAATTGGAAAATGCAATGACTGCATCTGTGCAAATGATGTAAGATAAAATTTCAATAAATATTTCATTTGGAATGCTTTCAAATTTACTAGCCATGATAACATGCACTCTATCGAATAGTGATAAATAATCTGTTTTACTTGTAACATTTTTCTTGCTCAACATCAACGAAACAAAAGCAATGTATGCATTGCATGTTGTTGTGTAAGAATGTTGCAGAGGGTGAGTCATGACAGAATAGAAAAATAGTGGTAAATAGGCAGTAGCGACAATGAGTCTCAAGGTTTTTTTCCTTCCGCTACTCATGATATTGCTTAGGTGCTGCATCCTGAGGGTGAGGATGAGAGTGGTGGAGACAGCTGGAAAGCAGTTTCACAAGGTGTAACGTTTGAAAGTATTGACCGAGTGATATTTTTATCAACTATTCGTCAAGGACGTGATGTGCATGTTTCGTATTATTCTAAGACACTCTTCTCTCTAATATGGAATTCATTGGTTAGTTCTGATTGTTTCTGGAGGCTCGATGAGTGCTCAAAGAGTTGTGTTGCAATGATAGGAAATTCATAGCTGAGTATGTTTTAAGAGTTCAGTTTTTTTGTTAACTCATCAATATAACGTACTTCGACATTTTCGTTACGAAAATAGGCAGTTCTGCCATTACTTCGCTAATTTAGAAATTTGTCCAAGTTCTCTTCTTTGCTTTTTCAATTCTTCGTCGAAATTTCGAACTAATGTCGATTCTGTCCCCGTTAATACCACGGTTTCCTTAACACCATAGATCAAAATATTATCATCCACCACAGTTACTTCAAATCCTTGTATTAGCGGAACGAATATAGCCAAAGAAAGCCACGTGATCTTTTGCATTTCAATATACAACCTGACAAATCGTTCTGGAGATCTCGACGTCAGCCGAATCTCGGTATTTTTTCTGATATGACAGTCAACTTTCGACACTATATTAGCATCCAGTCCCTTCGTGACGGGGTGGGTGTGAGTGTACAATTGATGTGGGTGAGGGTGTAAATGAAGAGAACAACCACAGTCCCATCCTACACCCACTCACCCACATCCACACCCACACCTGCACAACAGTAAAACAAAATCCAAAGAACCAATGAATGTGTTAGAGTAGCCGCGATAATGTTTATGATGCGAAGCAATGTCTTTGGATGACAGCGAAAGCTTTCACATCAAGAAGAATTTCTGAGAGCAAGAACATATAGTTTCAGAAGCCTACTATTTGTGTATGTAATAGCAAAACCTTTAGTATTCACAGAATATCTGTGAGTGAGTGCAAAAGCTGGTTAAACATAAAGAAATGTTTTAGAGAGGGTGCAAGAATTTCAGAGAACAGATCAATGCGTTACATGCTTGAGAAAAGCTTCAAGGTAGTGACTTATATGTCTGGAAGATAGGGAATGGTTTTCGATCTCACAGCAGTCGATCAGAAGTAAAGCAAAAAGTTTCAGCAGTCAACCAGATCTTGATGTAGCCATACAAAGCTTCAGACTACTAACCAATATCTTTGAGTGACAGCCAAAAACTTTAGGCGCACTAAGTGTGGTGTGTGAATTCATCCGAAAGACTTTCTTTGTTGAAAATAAATCTACAATTTGTTTGTTTTACATGTTTGTTTTTGCGACTATATAATCTGAAATAGTACGTATGAACTGAACACAAAGCAAGAATTCAACTTTATCTCTAATGAAAAAGATTTCATATTGTTTCGTATTTTTCTTTCGAAACGAAGGTGATTGGAAAAATTAATCTCGTTTGTATCTTAATTGCCACGTACTTTTAGTATTTTTTATTGAAAATCTCTCCCAATAGTTTGTTAAATAGATAATCTTATTTGCATATTTAAAAAATAGTGACTTTCATTTCAATTTATTGATACTTTATAAAACTGTACTCAATATTTTGTCTATTATAATCAAGTTTAACTACTG